TTTAATATGACACTTACTATAATAGGAGAACAAATAAAATTTATTTAAAATCAATAATACGTATACGTAGCAATAGTCTTATTTAATTAAGCTATGTAATATTCTTATTATTATTATTATTTATTATTATTTTTTGCACCAAAAAAAGAACGTTACTTATCACTAATTTCTATATGTTCACGTGTACGCGTTAAGATATAAAAGAAGTGACATTTCATTATGGCATCATACAGTAAAATAAATAATGGACGAAGCAGCTAAGAGAAAACATTGTGGCCTTTTGATGTTTGAAGTTCCAACACCCTCATTTACTAAATCCGGTAATAAGTCGGCTACTTCGACTCAATTTACCATTGATTGTACTTCATCTATGGAAAATAGTAATATCCAGAAGGATAATTTTATTTATACTTCATTCATGGAGCCTATCAAGGTTAGTCCACAACGCCCTCATAAGAATACACCAATTACTTCGATAGAACAAGAATCAACTAAAAGTAATGGAGCTGTAAAGATATCTCAGCATAAAGAGGAAAAAAAACGTCGCCCTCCCAATTCTTTCCTTCTTTACAGACAAGCCAAACAATCGGAAGTAACACGTGCTCATGGTAATATTTCCAATGCAAAGATATCCAAAATACTATCAGACCTTTGGCAACAAGAATCGGATGAAGTAAAACTCTATTGGCAAAAAGCTGCTGATAAAAAGAAAATGGAACATATGTTAACGTACCCGGAGTATGTTTATCGCTCAAAGTTAGTTACACCAAAAAAGAAGCGTAAATCAAAAGCCACAGATTCTAATCAATTTCAGAATGCATTACCTATAGCTCAAACATCTAATATCGATGTATCTCCACTCCCTTCCTATCCTATTATTATTCCATCACATCCTTGGTTTCATGACCAATTCGAAATTCCTAATCCCTCAGTTTTACCCTCAATTTTTCCCAATGAAGGTTTCAATTACAATTTCATTAATACACATAATACACAAAATTACGAACAATAACCATTAATCGAAGAGACTGCTTCGATCTTTTACAGCACCTATGATGGCAATACTTATACTTTCTATGCTTTCAATTTTTCCGCTCTATAACCTTTACAAAATATTTCATTATTTATGTAAGGCTTTATTATTTTCAATTAAGCCAATTCTCATTATCCACAAGGGATCTTTCACATGATTAGTAATTTTGTTATATCCATTGAGATTCATTGAGAATGATAAGCTATTGGATACTTTATACATTGAATTCATTTAGATATTTATTAGAGTTTCATTGGAGTTCATTGAAACAAAATACCAACTCTGGGTTCCTAAATTGTTCATGTAAATAATGTCATTCATGTGATACATCATTATGCCTATCGTTATTAATCTATGATTAACAACAATGTAGCCTGTAAAAGACTACTGTATTATCTTAATATCTCTTGTTCATTCTTAATCTCTTATATATTTTTATCATAAAAATAATTAATTGTAGGTGATGTTTCATTTCTCTATTTTTGTGATATATAAAAAGACCTACCGGTAGTAATAGTATATATGGTTATGTTATTAATATATGTAAAGTACTGTATGTAATTTATGATCAATCACGTGAATAATTCTAATAATAAAGCAATTTTATTTAAAGTACCATTTCTGGAATGTACAAACCTTATTATGCCAAATAATAAAGTAGGTAAGATTAAATAAACCGAATTTATACAGAAATAGAATAAATTACAATTATAGATTATTAGGTAATTTTAACCCATGTCCTTAAAATAAAATAAATCGAATGTTGTAATACCAATACTACTATACACTTGTTTAAGTGACATATCTTATCGTAGCGTATCGCAACACTATCATTAAATCTTGCATAATTTAAACATTAGTTCGTTTGTTGTCAAAACATCAGTCTATTCACTATGAAATTCTTACCTAAGATACTTACATAAGTGAGTACGCAATTACAAGGGCGTGCATAAAATGATTGTGCAGTCTTTCCACTAATGGAAAAAAATGATAATTGGATTTGGCAATATATTTTTATTATATGTGTACTTTTCGGTGTGCTTATCCGTTTTTTATTGTTTAGTTGTGAGAATTTAGAAGCGGCAATTAGAATATTGGGATGTAAGACTCGTGGACATGATATCATTGTGTAAAAAGAATGAAGCTTAAAATCTAGATTTCAAAAGTCTTATGATCAAAACAAATATTAAATTTATTTTTTCTGTTTTTTTTTTTTTTTTTACGTTCCTATTGACGTGGTTTGACAAAGTAAATTGATATTTACACCAAACTTTCGCGAATATAATCAAAGTTTCATTAAATCAGCGATGATATGGTCTATTTTGGTCTGATTCCAAGCTTAGTTTATTATGGTAGGATCTTAAGACTTAAAGATATTGATCGGCAAGACTTGGGACCAAAATTAGACTGGATAATACTACTGTAGTTTATTTTTGGTTCTGAGCCAATTCTAATAACAGACTACGATCTTATATTTTAGACTGGGCTAAACAATATTTAATATTACTGTATTATTAATCAATGAATTATATTAATGTTCATTAGTGTTCCAATTTAAACTATTCTGGATGTTTGTCGAAAAGACAGTACCCATTTCTGCTAGTTATCCAATAAGGTTTCTAAAGGTTTCAGATCGAATAGATTATCTTGTTGTCTAACTTATTAGGTAAAATGAAATCTTTAAGTAACTTGCATAATAATAGTTCACTCCTTACCTATTTCAATTTTCAGCAGCAATGGCGCTATTTAGCATTACAAAAATTGAATTCCATAAGGTAATACTGTCAAAGATATTACGTATACGTAGCGAATACCCTGACTGTCTGTGTAACCCATTATATGAATGATGATCATTTCAGAAATGTTTGTTACTTTTAAATGTACATGCGTGTGTACGTACATAGGTTATGTGCTTACTTACTATATTTGTGTTTCCCTCACTTTGCAATACTCGTTTCGGGTAAAAATTCTACCAAAAAACGTGAGTGCGTTGAATCTACTGCATGTACATACGTACATACGTATGTGCGTATAATCCTTAGCAACGATTGACCAAATTCGTACTGTCGTATAAACAGATTCGTTTATACGCCAATCAAATTTAAATGTTACACAATAAAATTTTATTAAATCGTGTTATCCCGTTAATTTATAATCCATTCGGAATATATCAATATTGTATAATCCCGATGTCACGAAATAAAGACGGTTTAATAAAGTTTCCGTGTAACGTATTTCAAATTTGATTGGTTTATAAATGAATCATATTAGATTTTCATACGAACCTGATCAATCAGACCTCTCCTTATTCGACTTATAAGTACTATCACGGTAAATTTATTCACCCATCTGCCAAATTAATAAAACCTATTTGGGTATCCCATTTGAGGAATTTTTACAAAAGCGTGATTAATGTTATATCAAATTAAAATTCCAGATTTTTAATTCAATATTGTTTGCTAAAATAGATGCTTTCCGATTTATTGAATCTGAAAATATTTCGGCAGCAATTTGAATAAACCGAAACCTGCAAAGTCAATAAACCCCCCACAGTAGGTCAAAACAAACGGAAATGGGCTAGGAAACCCACCATTCGACACTTCTAATAAGATTTGAAGTTTTGGTTCTAATTAAAGCCTTGGCTCTTATTTATACATTGTGTATTTTTATCCGATATCTGAAAAATCGATCATTTCGAAGATATAAATCGAATATTAACCCAGTTCAGATTGGAGAATTGGCATATGACCTTGTTTGTATAAGTGATATTCCGAATTGAAAAAGACAACCAATAGAAACTTGGAGTGCTTGCATTATGGATAAAATTTACAATCGATCGTGGTGCAGTTTTATAGCAAATGTAAAAGAAGTGACGTTGTTGTATCTAAAGTAGCCACCCTATCTAAAGTAGCCCTGGGCTAGAATTACGATTTAGTGCATGCATGAAGATCT